AAAAAAAAAAAAAAAAAAAAAAAAAAGAAAAAAAAACTTACATTCAAAGTAAGCTCAGTATTTTTGTTTTGTTTTGTTTTGTTTAGTGTATATATCTATTTTGTGCAACTACAGGTAAAAATTCTTAAGTACTCTAAAAATCATACCCCTTCTTCTCCATGTATCTCTTGTGGATTGCTTCGCAGGCAACTTTAAAAACATAAAGAGGTGCTGCACTCTGTAGCAGAAACTGAAAGACTGGAAGGTGGAAAAGCACAGAGAGCACTGTGGCTAACAGAGACGGTGCAGAAGGAGGGGGCAATGGAGGCTGAGAGGGAGGAAATAGGGGAAAAGAAAGACACAAAACATGAAAAGGATGCAAAAGTGAAAAATTACCTGTTGGTAGTAATGTGTATGGGGACCAGCAGTTAGTGTAATGGCTATGTTGCTGGACTCCCATGTAGTCAACCGTAGTTCAAGTCCCAGACCCAGTGGCTTAAACTCACGCCAGGTACGTGTGCATGTATGCCCAAGGTCCCGAGAGGAGAATGGAGGAGAAGGGATTGCAGCATGGCCATCCCCACGGGGAGTGATTTCTCACTTTCTGTCTCTGTCTCTCTCTGTCTTTCTGGAGAGTGCACACGCCCTATAGCAAAGATCTCTAAAAAATAAAATAATAAAATAATGTGTATGGTAATATCTTTGATTGGACTGATATAGAGTGTATTCATCCTGAGAAAATCCATTTTGTAGGCTGTAAAGAAATACAGTTTTTGAATGAAAAAAAAAAAAAGATAAAGAGGAAAAGAAAAGGAACTACAACTTCAGTATCTAATCTGTAAGCCACTCACATCATTTTTCAGGCCAGCAGGTGGCATTGTGGCTGAGGGCACTGGACTCCCACACATCACTTTTTCCCCTCGGCTGGTGAGTAAGTGACTAAATGTACTATCATAATTAGATAACATGACAAAGTATATTTAAAATTCACCTTTAATTATAAAAAATAAACTATTGCTACATAATTAATAAAATAAGATGGGGAACCTGTTTTTTCAATATTAGTTTATAGAATAATGGGTAAAGAGTAAAAGCAATAGAATATGAGACCAAAAATAAACAGAACAGATGCATAAAATATGTTATTTCTTAATCGAATCGTAGTTGGAAATGATAGGTTAACACAAACATAGCTAGAAATTGTAGAGTAGATTCAGATATTATACAGGGAACACTGCAACCAAAAGTGTGGAGAATAAGTGATAGTACAAGAGTAATCTATATTTGGAAAAACTATAAACCTTCTCTGTTTACACAGTCAGTTGATTTTTTAGATAAAGATCTAAATTAAATATCATTTGCAAAATCTTAAAAATATTTTCAGAAAATAATAGCAAGGTGAAATGATTTTAAAAATCATAGCTGTAGTTGATAGAAAAATTATTTAAATGCATTAACAGAAATTGTATTTTTTTCTATGATTTGTCCATGATTCTTCCAGATTAAGATGAAAAGATATTAGTCATGTCATAATCATCCTCAGCCATCATAAATAGAATAAAGATAAAGTAAAAAACACAGATTCCTGCAGCATAAGATACTAAATAAACAATATGACAGATCACAATAATAATTTGATTCAT